AATGCGATGTGACTTTAAAGTTCAATTTAATTCAATTCAAAACCTAATTCCCAGATTTCAATGACAACGCGACAAGAACATTCAAATTATAAACAGTATGTCAAGAAACTAAGCATACAAACAGGAGTTTTCCCATACTGATCTCCTGACCTAAAAATAACTCCACAAAAATGCAACAATAGGAATGGAGGGTTATTTACATACTAATGCCCTACCTCCCTGACTTAGGAGTGAGTCATAGTTTACACCTGTCTTCAATCGATAGCCGTGGTAAAATCATGAAGAATACCACTGACTGATTTTTACAAATACCGAAGTATGTATGCACCAAGGGGATGCCATGTTGACATCTTGTTAGCGATATCGGAAACTCAATTCACTGCTCTAGTGCACTGTTTATTTGTTATTCAGAATGTTGGTAAAATATTGCACTATAGTAAGTAGTAAATAATATAGTATTACGACTACCATGTGTAGGCTTTCAGACTGAGACATGTTAATGTTAAAAATAAATCATACACCAATTGAGTAACAATCTTGAAACATCTCTAAATATCTTCTGTAAATATTTTAATATTAATTAAATAAGTTCAAAACATTTAGTTATTTAGATTTCTCTTGAAAAGTATTTTATAGATTTACTAAACAGTATGGCCACTCTTACTATTATTGCAATCAGAATTGCATATTTAACAATTATTCTATTACTCGTTTACAATACTATTTAAGAAGTACTAATTCAAGGTGAAATGCCACGTAAATCCCTGCAAGTCAGAAAAGCACTGCAACAAGTTGGTGACCGGAATGTCACAACTGGTTTGAGATTCATTTCAATAAGAAACACTACATTGCATAAGTTTGGTCTAAAGTGTTCATATATTACAACACAATCCAGAGAACAGTGTGAAGCCAATGAATGCATGAAACAGTAAACTTTATTGCACGAATTATATGCGATCAACAACGTAGTCACATGTAAATGTCTGTGACCCAGCCCATAATAGCTCAAACCACTGCAACAAATTCGACACCAAAAGATGCCACTGTTGTTAGGCTAATTATAACGAAGCAATATAACCATTTTTTCACAGCACGGGTATACCAAAATTTTGTTAAAAGGCAAAACCGGGTCAGATCATGTCCTTGTCGTGTTGGAGTGGGAAAATTGGTCGCGGACGCGACCAAACAAGCGTAACTTTTTTTTCACAGTGGCGAATATCCCAAGAATTCCTACAAAATTCGAACATATCACAGCATATATGGCAGAATAACGAGTTAATAACATTATTACCTGTTCAATGGCCACAGCAACTTTTAATCAATTTGACTGATGTAAGCGCGAAGGAACGGACTCACACGAAAAAGTACGCCATCTTGGATTGTGTTTATACACCCTACATCCGGGACTTTACCCCGCATATTTCAAATTTGCGCACAGACTCATGGGAAAATATCGCGTTGGCCTCCAACCTCAGCATAGCAGTGACTCAGCTTACACATCCGGAGTTGTTTAGTAATCCCTCCTCCTAGATGTTCGTCAGTAAACGCAAAACAGAAAAAAAACAATGTTTCAAGGGTGGGGCTATTCTTAAAATGCTTTTTTTATAATGTCTGCTTGATATTTATGGGATGTTTAACGTCTGAATCACTCGCTATTGAAGACTCAGTGAATACACAAGTTGCCCAAACAGTATTTTGAAAACAAAACCTACAAGGAAAATGAAGGAAAATGTTTATATATTTTTGATAGAGTAAAATAAATGCATATGTTCACAGAGTATAACACGGTGTTTTCGCCATCTAGGAGTTTAGGGTGGTCAAGGTACCCAATTTCCACTGTGTTTTGTTCAAAATAAAAATGAATTGAATGATAGAATGCCCGTTATAAGAAAACGTGACATTTCTTTGATGGCTTTATGGTTTTAAGCTACATTGCATCTGCGGTTTCAATTATGCGTCTATACTACTAGCTGAGTATCTGTTCCGCTCATTATACCACGGTCCCTCTATAATAGAGGGATAGAGAGACTGTGGTTATACTGAGACTTTTTCCATGATTATTGTTTAATTGTGTGAAATGAAAAATTATGTTATTTTGCTGAATTCCATGATTTGTCTCTTTTATTTTTGACATTCTGTCCTGGGTGGTCATAATGTTAAACTAGGTTTACAAGTTTCTAACCGATTATGCCCCATTGCGTTCACGGTGATAGCATCACAGAGTAAATAACGGAAAATCAGTGTGTCTGTATGATTAACATAACTGTCTGAAGTACATTATTTCTGCGAGGTCGGCTTATAATTATGGCAAACAAATATGCAGAGAAGGAAAAACTATCACGTACTACATGTCAGTCTGAACAGACTCTGTGAATAATATTCAATATCCGCGGAGTAAAAAAAAACACCTCGTCGTATGTAAGGCGACGTCACGTTGAGGAACATACAAACATTAGCCATTACATGCATCATGTAGTTGCTGTAACATAAAGCCATGTAATATTTTCCCATATTACATGGCCACCCTGGGAGAAATACTGATAATAGTTTCTCCCTAAAAATGAATATTTTTTGGATATTTATTGTACGTAAAATAACCATAATCATCGGGTTTTTATCCTGCCAACCTGAATTTCGCCCGGTGACGAGCCGCATGTATTCTCTGTCTAAACTTTCTATCGACGCTCATTTTTTTCAAAAATATAAATATAATTACAAAAAATAAATAATCGTTTTACTCTGAAAGTATGACAATCGTGTGACCGAAACAAGCATAGGACAATTCTCACACCTTAATGGATAGTGTGACGCACCCAGTACCACAAAACACGAGTGTTTCAAAGAAAGTTGTTTTGTCCCAAGTGTTATTGTTACGCTGTCTGACTGACTCGGTGTATTGACTTACAAGACTTCCATTCATTAAGTGTGAAATACTGGCGATGCTGAATTGTTCGAGTTACAGACATCGATGTTCGGTTAACTTACAGTTCCTATGGACTGTGATTAACTATTAATTAAAGTTCGAGTTACAACTGAGTTACTAAATGTGGACGTTCGACAAGAACCAATTTGAAAATATATATGACCCGTACGTAACTCGAACATGCCAATGAACATCGAGTTATAATTTGGGCATGGTTTCTAAAATATCAATAAGATATTAATTGGGCGTTCTGTTTACATTAACATAAATATAAAATAAAGAATAGTAGTGAGAAAAAAACCTGGGAGTACAATGAATGCAATATAATATATTTTTTTTTATATATTTTTAAGTTGGAAATTATGTGGGACTAGCCTGTGATTTTTTTATTCTCTTTTTAAAAGTTATCCTGCACTCCTATATTCCTAATACGAGTTGGAATGCTATTCCAAAGTATTGCTCATGCATACTTAATGGTGCATTTTCACGCTTTATGTTTAAAGCGCAGTGGTCGTCGCGCAGCACGTGTTCGAATTTCATGTAAATAAACAATGTAGTTTTACACGCGTTGTATACGTCGCTATGAGTCCCATATCGAACAGGACGCGGCACGACGACCGCCGCCCTTTAATTTGGGAATTTTTCCTGGTACTAGGTGAATGAAAAAATAGGGCTTATTAATCTTGGAATATGTATGGCAACCTGTTATTAATAAAATGGTTGAACAAACATGGTTAGTTGTAATTTGTGTTGAATATGTCCAAAATTCCCAGTTTTCTAAATAATGCTGCTGAGGGTGCATGTCTATCAATAAAAGTAATTATTCTAATAATTTCTTTGGATAAGGAGAATCTCATTTACATGAGTTGAATAGGTATTATCCTATACCTTCAAAACTTATGAAATACGAGACAGTATCCGAGTATTATAAATCATAACAATAGACCGAGAAACAATATGTCGAAGTTTGAGGAAGATATCCATAAGTCTGCTGATGTTTTCTTTGACTCCCAAGATGTGGTTTTTCCATAATAAGTTTTTATCTATTGATTTTCCAGTGAATGATGCACTTTTCAGTGAAAGAACCCCAGATGATTTTATCTTTTTACTACTGCTACGAGTTACTAAATGTTGGGTTTTGGCTTCGTTTGTAGTCGGTTTGTTGGCATCGCACAGCTCTGCAATTTTGGTCAGTTCATCATTTAGGGAGTGTAAATTGAAATTGTGTCAAATAAATTCGAGTCGTCCGCATAAAGCCTAAAATTAAAAAATTCTGAAGAAATGTAGATATCATTGAAGTACAATGTACATAAGAAATAATGGGTCATAATATAGAACCCTGTGGGACTCCGCATAATATTGGTAAATTTGTTGATTCAATGTAATTTGTAAACAACAAACTGACCCATAGAGGCAAGATAACTGGTGAGCCATTGCAAAGGTAATCCCCTAAACACCATAAGGGTCGAGATTGGCGAGTAAGATGTTGTGATTGATACTGTTAAAGGCTTTAGAGAAGTCTATGTAGATCCCAACAGTAAAATTTCCCTAGTCATTTTCGTGAAGTAGATATTGGGTCAGGTCAATGAGCGAGATCTTTGTACTGTGTTTGTTTTCCTAAAACCATATTGCCTCCATAAGATTAATATTTATTATGAATACGGATTATTATTATGTAGGATATATATTCTTAGTTTGTTACATAATATAAATAGGCTAAACTGTAAAATTCAAGTCTAAAATAATACTGCAACCCGGATTCACTTCAACACATAGTTAATTTAGCTCTCAAAAAATATCTATGAAAAACTCAGATGATCGGAAATAGGCTTATAATTCACACCAATCGCCACTGTTAAACATTATGAGGACATTTTATAAACGAAGTCAGTGTACGTATCATGTATACATATACAGTATTATACTATTCCATAAGTATTAGGTTCTTAAAAATAACTAAAGATTTATTTATTTAATATACTGTATGTGATTTTGTTATCTGGAGTAAAATTCTAAATTAATATAGAAAAGAGGAAGTGACAATCACCATGTCAACGGGGTTACGCTGTCTCATAGAAATAATAATGTTCATTGGAAACGTGCTGCTAAATTGTTGCATCTCACCCGGAGTTATTCCAAATCTTGAAAATAATAATATTTGTCCCCCTGGGCAAATTCGCTGTTATACCGCCATCAACGACGAATATGGATTTTTGACCGCTAATCTGCGAGCAGTGATTAAAAGATTCACCGCCGCGAGTATTCATAAGTTTCTTGATAACAAACTAATTACATAGTTATACAGCTTACAGCTACCACAACATGTACACCATCTATAAATTTAGTGACACATTCATAACCATGTGTACAATAACACACATACCGCCGAGAGTGGTATAAACACCAGTTACGGCATACTTGCGGTTTTTAACAAGAAGCCAAAAATATCACTTTTTACCAAAAATTACAAAAATATTCACCAAAATTAGAGAATTTAAGATATCATTACGAAATGAACAAATCTGAGAAAGGTCCACATGTAGTATCTATATATGTAATATCAAAGCAATTGGACTTGCGGTTTTTAACAAGAAGTCAAAAATATCACTTTTTACCAAAAATTACAAAAAAATTCAACAAAATCAGAGAATTGAAGATATCATCATGGAATGAATAAATCTAAGAGCGGTTTACCCCAGGTACATACACACCAAGTATCAAAGCATTTAGGCTTGTAGTTTTCAAGAAGAAGTTGAAAAAGGAAAACATTGAGACGGACGACGACCGTGACGGACAATCACTCATATGATAAGCTCCGGTCGACAAAGTCGACAGCGGAGCTAAAAATTAAAAAAAAAGGTCATCAAGGGAGCTCTTAACACATTAATTTATGTACTGTTGTCCGAGAACCATCTCGGATGCTGAATGCGAATCACACACTTAACTCTCACGATTTCTACGTAGCCTACACGCTTGAGTACAGCTGGCGAATGGTGAACAATGGTCATCTAGCTTGTATGTCCCAGCATATTTGGCCATGTGTATACTTATTGCTGATCAATACTGTAATGTTTTCTAGGAAAACAAAACATTAAAGACAAACTTATGACAGCTCACATCTTAACCACACACATACATTGGTCACTACATAGTAATTGTTGTTCATAACCTATCATAATGCACTATTAATAGACACTGAAAGCATGTGTTGCACCCCCTGGGAGGGTGGGAGCATTAGAATTGGATGCCCAAACATAGCCTTTTAAAAAAGCCTCTAAATGCATGAAAACATAACCCATCCAAGTACAAAAACATCAAAAGCAAATCCTAATTATGAGGGGATTCACTGGAATTTTAAACATGTGTGATGGGACAGAGATTTATTTCACTAAACCAGTAGTTTCTAAATACTTATGGCAATTGTGATTTTTTTTTTACATTTAGAAACAACGAATGT